ATTATTCATTCAGTGAATGTATCAAATAGCTACAGGCATCCATCTATCATTCTGAGGCCTGTCCCATCAATTCAAACACACAGCTGCACAAAGGGACGGCCTCTCAATATACTCACCTCTGTCCCCGGCCTCCTCACCAGTCTGCAAAATAAAAATAAAGGCTGATGGATGAGTTACCCGCACAAGCAGCTATTTTAGTTCTTTCCTCTGGGTTTCGTGATGATATTTTAGCCTCTCCTTTCTCTGAGGGAGGTAAGAAACAAGTGACAAGTGCCTCCCAGGGCGTTCAGTGAAATGAAGCTTTTGATGAATCCATATCTGCTCGATCCCCTTTGAACCCCGAGTGCTCTGCTGCCCGTGCCCAGCTCCTCGGTGCACAGCACCCAAGGGTTTCTGGCTTGGGCACACTACCCCGACCTCAAGGCCAGATGCTGGCATGGGCAGAGTTCCACAGCTGTCATCAGACACTGTGTTCAGTTTTTGAGTCTGAAAATAAGTGAAGTGGCCAGACTTTTCCAGTGTTATTCAAAAGCTGCATTTTTTTCCCCCAGACTAGTGAAAACCACCTTGATTGGTCTCTGTCTCAGACAATTGTTTAGTTAACCTGGGAGATTTCAATCCATTTGGATTTTTTCCTCACATTTTATCATAGCAATGCTTTCAACTGAAGCTCTCAAGGTTTTTTTTTGCATTTGAAATGAGCAGAGTTCAGGAAAAAACCCTTTAGTGTCACATTTGTGCTGTCTGTTTAGAATATGTTTTTGTTCAGAGCTCAAGATACAAAGCTAAAGGTAGAGTTTTTTCAGTCCATCTCTCTCCCTCCTTCCCATTCACATGGTGCAAGTGCAGATGAGAAGAACTTCACTGAAAACTGCCAACAGTTAAAATCTTCTTTCAAGTTCTAAAATAATTCATCCAGATTTCAGTGTTGTTGAGCTTGTTCTGGGGCACTGGAGAAATGCATGAGCCACAGACAAAGATACAATTTAATGTGCTTTTTAGGTGCATATCCACAGTTAAAATTGACTTTGTGATTCTCCTTGCCTTTCTAATCTTTGCCTAAAGAAATAGGTTTGCAAATACATACAGTCTAACCAATATCTCTGTTTAAATCTGAAAACCTATTCTAGGGAGAATTTTTTCCAGTTGCTTGGTCCTGTTACCCAGAATCACATCTCTTTTAGAGTACCCTATTATTTATGACAACAAGCATGATGATGATCAGCATAAAACCGTAGAACCAATAAAAATTCCTCTAACCAAATGTATGCTGAACATATCCTAAGGCATTAAAGAAGTCAAGTGGATCAAGGAGTAGCTACTACTTTGCAGACATCTGGTAAAAGCCCAGATTGTTTCTGAATGTCCCCCAGCAACGAAAAAGTGCTATAGACAAAGAAATAACCAGTATTGCAAAAACATCTGCTAATTTCATGTTCACTGGGGAATTCACATCACAAAAAAATGTCGCTCCTTCATTTGCAGTTACCTGGATTGCTTTTTAGTTACGACTAGATAGTGCAAGTTGGGTAATGGCAAAATGATTTCCAATTGACACAGTTTTTAAAAATATTCAGCTAATTTTATTTATTATGAGAACCAGTGTCTGACTCTGCACTTCCTGATGGCAGCACACAGGGGTTTGTGGCTCATTCTCCCCTTCCTCGTGCAGTTCTGCTTTGCTGGGTGAACAGCCTGTTCCTGCAGCATCAGGGATCTCTGGTGTGGCTGGGTCAGGCTGCATTAGCAGGAGCGATTCCCTGGCTCTCCTACTGTTCTCATCTCCAAAGGAAGATGAGGGAGAAGATTTTAGCAATACAAGGGCAGTAGAGGATACGGAAATTTTCCAAAGAAATGGCTGTGCAGTGGTTGGAGCTCTGGCTTGAAGCATCAAGAAAGAGGGTGCCCAGGGGGGTATTCCCCTGTGCTCTTAACTCCTTCTCTGAAAATTTATCATTCTTCCTTAGGCAGCTCCTGCAGAGCTTACAGGCTCTGCACTGTGGCTTCTCTTAAACTTCACTAAGCAGCACGAGACAAGTTATCCTGCTTCTCTTTGCTATGAAATGTAAATTCAGAACAACTCAGTCCTGACTGGGCCTTTGCTCACACCTGTGCCCTGGGGTGTGGCTGGGGGCACACCTGGGGCTCATTGGACCTCCTGAGGATCAACCCGGTTCAGCTGGGCAGGATTCTCTGCCTGCTCTGCCATTCCTGCCCCGTGCTCAGTGTGAGGGGAGCACAGAGCCTGTCGTTCCTGGGGTAGCTTCAGTGCCCCTATTCAGGATCAAAATATCTCCTGCTTTTTGTTGGAGGCTGTGCTGTGGTTTGCAGAGGGTACAGGAACGGGAAAGCCTCTGGAGGGACCTGGAAAGTGAAGGTTTGTACTGCTGGAAAGTGGGACCTTCTGTGAATAGCAATGTGTTTGCAAAAGATTTGAGGTTTTCAGTGGGGAACTGCCTTTTTTTTTTTTTTTGTTTCAAGTGGAAGTCAGCTTTCAGCTAATATAGATTTATCCACTTTGGGATACAAAATCCTGCTTTCTACTCTGTGCTATTTTTCCTGAATGCCACAGGAGGCTTTATTTTTCCCTGACAGCTAGCTAAAGGGCACGTTTATTTGACAACTCCTTCATCAGTGAAAAAGTAGAAAAGACATTAATCTAAGGCCATGTGCAGCATAGTAGTACCAAGGAGTTCAATTTTACTTCAGAAAGCAATAGAGGAGGCTTCTTACAGTGGTGTGGGGTTAACTGGGAGATCAAATTTCTCTAAGTCAGTTCTAATGTGTGATCTGCATGTGGAGAAAACTGCTTTCCAGGAATAAATCTGGTGTAAGTGGTAGGGGATGGGGGCGATGGGTAGGAGGAGAGTGGAGAAGCTCCCATGGTGAAAGAAGTGGGAGAAGCTTCTTGGGGTGTTCTTGGATCACACAGGATAAGCTCTACCTGCTGTGAGTTACAGCATTGTACTAATTACCTTAGCCTGGATTTTTAAAATTATTTATATTAAAGCACCATGTAGAGGCCTGACTCAGGTTACTATGCACACACAATTCAAAGGCAGTCCTTGCATTGAAGAACTTTTCAGGAAAGGAAACTAGATCAGTATTTCTTACATGTGTGATTTGTTATTGGCCCCGCGGGAGTTTTCATGGCCTTGATGGGACATTGTAGCAATGTATGGTAAGATGGGTGCCTTGAAGGGACAGCAGTCCTCGAGAGAGTAAAATCCAAATGTAGCTGCTGTAGATAAACAGGTGAAGGGCCCCTGGAAGCTCCTAAGACTATGTATATGTCTAAATCTAGACATGTGGCTTACACTGCTGTGAAACAGGAAAGTAATCAGAGGAGGGAGGGGGAGAGAGCAGAGGATTGTGAACTTCTTGTGTGCACTGGCTCAGGGCACAGCCCCAAGTACCAGGAATGAACTCCTGGCTCCTCTGAGGGTTTTGTAGTTCTGTTATTGACATCAGTTGAGACAAGGTTTCCCAAGTCTTTGTTTCCCTTTTATAGCCTTTTATTATGATCTGACCGACTGAAAAGGTTTGGGCTTGTGCAGATAAATCCTTTTCAGGCATTGAATTTTCCTGACAGTTTTAAATGTCAATCTGTTCTTAGTTGGAGGATTAGTGAGGCTTATTATAGACTATGTTAATTTAGTCTGTATATGTAGACCTGCATTTATAAGTAGCATGGAAACATGTGTTAACAGTTTTACATAATGACAGGTAAAACACTTGTCAATGTTTCAGCTGTCAATGAGAGGAGTCTGAAAGCTTGTCCACAAATGCTTTCCTGGGCAGGCAGAGCTTCCCTGCTTTGCCAGGGGATCAAGAAAGACCTTTCCTTGTGGACAGAGGAAAGAAAAAAACTTAGGTAAGTTGACAACACAGTCAGTGGGGATTTGGTGTGTAGTGTTGACAAGTGCCACCTAAGATGAGACCAATCTAATTTGATTCCCATTAAAATGCAGTATTTGAGGTTTAATTCATCCTTGTCTGTACCCAAGGCTGACATTACTTACTACAAGAAGCTGCTTTAGTGTTTGAAAAAAAACCCAACCCACAACCCAATCCCCAAACTTTAATTACACAGAATGTTAGAAATGAACCTTGAGAAAGAGAAATCTGTGCTAGTTGTGGGGAAAAAAAATAAAGGGAAGTCATAAATCCTTTAGTGACATGTTTTTTAGAAAATGGATTCCTTTGTCAGTTTTATTTTTACACCAGGAAGAAACTGTGCCTTTTACAGATGAGGAGCTTGTATAGTTCTTTGTAGGACAGTATTTCTGGTATTCACAAGAAAGCAGACTAAACAGAAAATGTGAATTAGTAATTTCTGCAAGTTAAAGTGGAACAATCCCTTTTAACACATAATTAGATTAAGTGGAGTCTTTACAATTTGGAATACTGATTTGCAATATGCATGAGGTGCAAACTGTATATTAATTCATGTTTCTATATTTGCTTTGGGTAGTTGTCGTATAAAAAAGTTGGTTAAAAATAAACATATATTAATTTTGGAAAATAAAAAGACTAGCAGAAAGGCAAACTTGGTGCTGGGGCCTCTCTTGTTTGTGCATTATTGGAAATAGTAAAGTTTCTCATTGTTAGGTTAGTGCAATAAAGAGCTGAGCATCTACTGCTGATGGAGGAGCCAGAGAAGAATCCAGATTTCACTCCTGTGACTTTGAGATAACGGGAGTGAAACGCAGAAATGTTTGTTTAACTTTGAACACATGAAGAGAACAAATCTGAGTAATGCAGTGCATGTGGAGTGCTTTTTTCAAAGTCACATTGATAATGACGTTCTTCCTTGCAGGCTGGGAATTAAAGGAAGAGTATTTATACTGAGAGTCTCTGTTTTGTATGGGATAGGAAGCTCAAATCTGCACCACTTTGTGTGTGGCTGTGCTAAGGAATGAGTCATTTTGGTGTAGCACTGAACAGCTTCTACCACTAAGGCACATTTATTACCTTTTAAAGTCACCTGCTCTGCTCCACTTGAGATTCCAGCATTGGTTTTTCTCTGCTGCTCTAGGAGTCTGTGCTAGAGTTTTAAAGAAACGATCCACATAGTGACTTTAAGGAAGAAATCCAATAATGGTTGTTTCGTTTGTTTATATGCTGCCCTGCACATTCCAGTAGTTGTTAACTAAGTGAAGTTATCGAAGTCAGTATCTTGCTGTCTTTATTGCTTGTTGTAAAAGTGTGGTACTTGTAGCTGGGGTGAAGGGATTGTTTGCTATTAATAAAAGGCTGGGATTATTTTTGTAACCTTGGCTTCATGTGGCATCTCTCTGTTAAACACCCATGACTTGCCCTTACGAGACAGAAAAGTGTAAAGGGGAAAAATGGTGTGTTTAAAGTACTGTAGGATCAAGTGTTTCTGAGGCCTCTGTGTTGGTGGCAGGGGAAAGCAGGGCTGGGTGTCCTCACAAAGGCAGCCAGCGACACCAGCTCCCCAGGGCTGCACAGGGCTCTGGGCTGTGTCTGGTGCTTCTGTCAAGGACAGGTAGCAGAGGAGGCCAGCACAGGCTGTGCTGAGAGAGACAGGCAGCCACACCCAGCACCTTTAGAGGGGAAGCGGCTCTGTTAGTGTGGTTCTGTGCCAGGGACAGTCCCCTGTAGGTCAGAGAGGCACTGGAAGCCATCTCAGATGCAGCTGCCTAGCAGGAGTTTCACTGTTCAGGGCTGCTCTTCGAGGTACTGTCCTCACCTTAAAGCAGTGACCAGGGCTGGAGGGAGTGGTGTTGTCTTGGGCCCTCTGAAACTAAGTTTCCAGTGTCCATTACTTTTGGTGTCAGGGGTGTGTTGATGACAGTGCCTCTCATTGTGGGTTGAGTGTCATGACATCCCCCATTCCTCCTGAGGTTGAACTGATCTAACCTTATCACACTTAATTTATCCGATGACATATAGTTTGTTTTGATGTTTGTTTTTCTGACAGTCACTTCCATTCCCAAAAGAAACAGCGTTACTCTAGTGCTAATGATGCATCCCTGTGTCCACAGGGTACCAGTGGAGCAGTATGTTAAATACAAACCTTCAGAAAACACATCCTCGTGGCCGCTTAAACTTTGTACTCACAACCCAGCAGTGTAGAAATGAACCTGGGGTCCTGTGATGCAACAACATGGGATGCACCACAAAACACATATAGTCTATGAGGTGAGCAGCTGAGCTGGAAATATAACCACTGAATTCAAGGTGCCAAATTAGTTTAGTAGGGGGAGATGTAAAGCATTTTTCACAGATTGAAATGAATTGCTGTAGGTTATGATGCCCATGACCTTTAAATATTTTTGACAGTAAAGCATAACCTGTTCTCAGGAGAAGAAAATCCCCATCACAAAAGGATACCTTCTTACATTATTCAATCCTTTGTTGTGCGTGGATAAGTAATTTTATTTGGAAAAGTTGGTGTGATTTCATCATGAGGATGCCCTCTGCTTTAATTCAATCTCCCTGACCTAAGTTCAAACCCATCACACATTGTAGCAACTGCAAATAATTCCTTTGTAAAGATTGTCAGAAGTGAAATGAGGTTAAGTCAAAACCCCTCAGCTCTGCAGAATGCATGACTAGCACACATGAAGGGGTGATTGGCAATTGCTGGCCCAAGTGTCAGTTTTAAATTGTCCTTGCAAGACTTGTCATCCTCAATCAAAGTTCAGCTCAAAGACAAGGAAATTAGAGAAGTGCCTGTATGAGTTGATCTCAGCTTGAGAATGCTCAACAAGAGTGTAAAAGTTTAAGATAATTTACGAAATGATAGAAATGTAACTTTCTCTCCACCTGAATGTTAATGGCTAATACTATAAGCTACTTTCACACTGGTTTTAATGTTCTGCCTTAGCCTTAAATCCTGGTTTTGGCTGGGATAGAGTTCATTTTGGTTTTAGTAGCTGGTACTGTGCTGCATATTGAATTTAATATGAGAATAATGTCAATAACACACTGATAGTTTAGCAGTAGCTGAGTAGTGTTCACTCTAAGTCAAGGACTTCTCAGTGTCTCGTGCTCTACCAGTGTAGCAGATGCACAAACAGCCGGGAGGGATTGTGGCCAGGAGAGCTGACCAGAACTGGCCAAAAGATATCTCACCCCATAGAACATCCTGCCCAGTACAGAAACTGGGGGGAGTTGCCCAGAGGCCACTAATCACTGCTTGGGGCTGGGCTGGGCATCGGTCAGCGGGAGGTGAGCAATGGTATCGTGCATCATTTGTAGGTTTTGGGTTTTATTCCTATCTCTCAGTCTCCTTTTCATCATCATAATTACTATTATTATATTTTACTTCAATTATTAAAGTGTTCTTGTCTGAACCCATGGATTTTGCCTTTTTGTGATTCTCCTCATCATCCAGCTGGGGGTGGGCGAGTGAGTGGCTGTGTGGTACTGAGTTGCTGACCAGGGTTAAATCACAGCACCTTACTAGGTCAAATTTTAAAAGTATTCAGGGACAGGCATGTAGGTGACAAGTAGAGTTTGCAAAGCACAGGAGACTAAGTCTGTCAAGCCACCAGCAGGACTTGTGTCTTCGGGCTGACTGGATATTAGGGCTTGTGAGAGGAAAGCAGTTTCTTAGCTTGTACCTTTGAGATGCCAAAATACTTATGAAGATAAAAGTCAGTCATCTCTGAGCCTGTAGAGTCTTCTAAATGCCTGTTTGGTTTTGGCTGGTACCTTTTTTTTTTTTTTTTATGAGATGCATTCTGTGCTTTCTTTGGAATGTAGATTTTATTCTGCAGTAGAGTTTTGAAAACTTGGCAGGTTAAAATAAGGTGTCTTTATATTAACACACTGAACATGGAGTTGTGTTCTCCAAGTGGTGGTGTTTGCATAGGTGATGTTCTTGGTCCTATGAGTTTGCACTTAAAAGAAGCTTCTTCCTGGCTCTTAATCAAAGGTCAATATTAAAAGATGTAAATCCTGCCTGTATTAGGATGGGGGAAGTATATCAGAGTAATTATATCAGTATAGTTGCCCTTGTGCTGCCTTTCTGAAGTCACCACCTTTCTTGCCTTGTTTTTGCTAGAATTAATCTCCCATCCTGTTCCTAGAGGAGCAGGAAAAGACACTGACCACAAAGAGTTATTGGTGAGCTGACTTTCAGCAGCCACTAACAGATGGGGCCAAAGGTGGAAAAAAACCCCCAACCAGTAGTCTTTTAAAAACAAACCAACCCCCATTTAATAGAGCTCAGTTTTACTAAGGTAATAGCTGTGGAAACTTTACTCCTTTAAGAAGGGGGAAACTAAGGAGTAGGAAATACTAAATTTCTCTCTCATTCTCTCTGTTTTTGAATAATAATATAGAAAAACCAGAGGGGGGAAAAAACCCCTTTACCGTACCTTTTCTGCATATATGTAAGATAATTGGAAACGTCTCTTTGTGCTTTATATCCAGCTACTTCTATGAGCTTCTCTGCAATGTATCTTTCAAAGTTAAATTTTACTTGACACCTTTCTGGGTGACCATTAATTTAGCTTGTAAGAGAGTCTTGAAATCTTTGATACTGATATTGTGTTGCTGCAATTACTGCCTGTGGTCCTGCGGCCATACTAAAGTAAAAAGGGCTGCATACTTTCCTTTTAAGTCAATCCCTTAGAGGCTCAATCAGTTTGATTTCTGAAACCTGTGCTTGACAGTGAAGATGATTAAATTCTGCTGGTATCAAGGCTGGGTTCAAAACCTGGGTGCAATGTCATGTTCTCATAGTGAAGTTTATTATACTAGATTTTGATGTTTAAGAATCCAGGTTTCAAAAAAAACCCCCAAATAAGTCTTCCAAGAGTATGAGAAGGCGTGTGGAGCTGGGTAGAAAGTTAGGCCAAAAACAATAGATCAAGATTTATGAGGCACAGACCTTTTGGTCATGTTGAGTTACTTCTTTAAGCATGTTTTTGCAGTAGTAACTGGGGTTGCTGCTTGTCCCTGGGCAGCAATGGGTCATCAAGTCGAAGCAGAGGTCGAATGCAAACTAATGCCCATGCTTTGATGTATATTTCTGTCAGTTTTTTGCAGTGTAAGGAAATGCAGTAAATTGCCCCAGAACTCAATTGAACATAAGTTTCTAGGGCTCTCATGGATCTCTCTCACTTTGAGATTATCTGCATTAGCTTTTATATGACATTTTCAGGCTTATCTAAGATGCAACTGAAGAATTTATATCCGAGAAGAACTGATTCCTCCATTTCCAGTGCCACAGACTCTCATGCTCCACCCGCCTGTTACATCAGACTGTCTAGAATTGGCCTAGATCACTGTTATTATTTTGGTTGAGAAAAGCAACACTCCATTTTACCCCCAATTGCTCTCATAAATTATACTAGGAAACGTCTGTCAAGTAATAGGAAGCAATGTATCCTTGGAAATGAAAGGGACGGAACTGTTAAAAATAATCCACTCCTCAGTAATTGTAGCATCCTTCTCCAAGCCTTGGAGTCAGGGCATTGAGCCAGGCAAGAATAAGAGCTGGGTAAATGGGAGAGAGGGATTTTACCACTTTGTTAGTTAAGGTAATGTTTGTGGGAAATGATAAGCCCATCCTAATTTACCCTAAAGGACTCTGTCTAGCACAGCTCTTCCTTAAGGAAGATTTTAATGATTGTTGGTGATTCTTGAGTCCTGAGGAAACCTTAGTCCAGGGTGTGATCCTGGAACTCAATGAACTTCATCTCCTCGAGGAGTTACTCAGCAGGCCCAAAACAGACACACTGAACTACTGCCCAAACATTTTCCTGAATTAAGGGCATCGAGCTATCCCTCTGAGTCAATCCTTGCACTTGTGACTGTGTATATGGCTTCTGTTTTTCATTAACTTTTCAACAGGAAATTTCTTGGCAGAAATATTTTCATCACTGAAGTGATTTTACACCTATAGGAATGACTGTCTATAAAAAAAAAAAGGCATTCTTAAAGGTAATGGCATACCTGAGGATATCTGCATGTAAGCCTTTATTGCTGTCAGTAGGAAAGACAAAATGCTTTCCAATCATCAGAAAATTAACCATTTGATATCCAGTGTGGGTGTGAATGGATTTAATGATGCACTCATACATTTCTGCACTGAGATAACTGAAGAAAACATGAATAAGATAGGCTGTTAGAAAAGGTAGGGGAGAATTGCATGTTATTTCTATGGATGAACTGTCCTGGGTGACCAAACCTGTGAATGCAGCTGTGCAGTACTGGGGAAGTAACTACGTCCCTCGCAATAGTTTCAGTATCCAAGGCTGCTCTGATGAAAGGTTTTGCTTCTGGTTTTCTGCAGTGTAAATGGGTGCCCAGATGTACCCAGAACACATGGAATTTTTCAACTCTGAGCTCTGTTATGAAAATTGTTGGTTCCATCTAAGCCCACAATTACTTTCTGTGAAATTAGTGAAACAGTCTCACTACCACTACAGTTGAGAATATCTGAAATAGTTACTGGGATCCTGAAATTCATGGAGGAAGGAATTTTCTTCCACTAGAGGAATTTTATCTAAGTAACTGTGATTATTTGAATTATTTTCTTCTTGAGATTGTAAGCAAACACAACATTATTCTTTCTGACTGAAGGTGATGTAGATCCTCACTAAGCAGCAGGGTAATGTGAAACAAACCTTAACCACATGACTGCCTGCAGCCCATGAGAGAAGTGCCCTTAATTTCCCTGAATTAATCTTAAAGATGGAATAAAGAAGTATGAGGCATTATTCCAAGCAGGAGAAAATGCATCAGTGAAATGATTTCATTGTGGGAAAACCGACTTGGATTTCATGCTATTGCTTTAGACAAATGAAATTAAAAGGCAGTTCTTATATAGCTGTGTATTTACTTTCTAAACAAATGGGATCCCATTCAGTCTCAGTTCTCTTTTAATTCTCTCTCTTGCTGATGCAGATTGACCTTTTGCTCCAAAATTTAAAATCAAAATGCAACTCCTCTCTGTGGACACAGATACAGCCCAGAACAGAAGATACGGTACTTGGAAATAATAGCATAGTTCACATACAATTATACATAAGAGATATAAGGTCAAAGCAGCATCTGAATTCAGTGCTTGGTTCGGGGGAGG